TCTCCCAACTGAGCTATTTCGGCGATAAAACTTAACCGTCGTGTATGTCAGATTTACACATTACACAGATACAGACTGTACCGTTTTATAACGGTAACCAACCGACATTTAAACAGCGAAAACCGTCAACCGGTTGCTTGGGTCAACTTTCTGTTGCCATGGTTCTGGTTCGGCAGCACGCTCACACGGTGACGTAATTGCCACGCCCATCTTGAGCGCAGAGGCTGCTGGGAAGAAAGGTCAAGAATCGCTGGCCGCGGATTTACTGCTGCGTTAAAGATTATCTGTGAGTAAACAGCTGAATACTGCTGGAGAAACTGCTGAACCACTTCAGATGGGACCTTTACGGTTTGTTGGCTACAGCACAGCAACCGCTACGATAAGTTATCGGACGCTTTTCTCCCTGAGACTCGGTCGATAGCTAGCTGCAGTTAGCTGGCTAGCCGCTGCATTGTTATTGTTTTCGCTTCGTGTGTTTACAGATAAACCATATGTCTGTGATATAAACAACAGTCCCCGAGGTTCCCCCAGCCGAGGCAGGGGTCCGGACTGCCTGAGTGATGGTTTTCTGCCCGTCCCGAGAAGATGGATGACAGGTCCAGCAGCAGCCACCGGCTCCTGATCGTCCTGCTCATGGTGCTGCTGTTCGGAGTCATTATGATCCAGTACGTGTGCCCGAGCAGGTCTGAGTGCCAGCTGCTGCACCACCTGGGGTCCTGGTTTATGGACGGCAGTGCAGCTGGTTCTCGGGGCCGTGGCAGTGACATCCAAGACCGGCTCCAAAAGGATCCGTACATCGCAGAAGACGGCGCTCTGGTCCGCTTCGTGCCGCGCTTCAACTTCACCAAAGCTGATTTAAATCGTGTTGTAGACTTCAACATCAAAGGAGACGATGTTATAGTTTTCCTGCACATTCAAAAAACGGGCGGCACGACGTTTGGGCGACACCTGGTGCGGAATATTCAGCTGGAGCGGCCTTGTGAGTGTCACGCAGGTCAGAAGAAATGTACATGTTACCGGCCAGGTAAAAAGGAAACCTGGCTCTTCTCCCGGTTCTCCACCGGCTGGAGCTGCGGGCTTCACGCAGACTGGACCGAGCTCACCAGCTGCGTCCCGTCCCGCATGGACTCACTGGAGGTTCCGGAGAACCTGCCCAGGTTGGTGCAGGAGGATGTTAGGGTTAATGTTTCCACATGATACAGACGTTAACATATATATTTAATGGGGAAATATTTTAACTAGTTAAATCAGTTTATCTGTTCATTTGGTGTTTTTATCACTACAAGCAGCTGTCAAAGAGTTTGACAGAAACATTTTTTAAACTACTGCACAAGCTCTAAATGAATGGTCTGTATGATTTTGTCAATTCAGAATCAGTTAATTATGATACAAATTAATATAAATGATGGTGTCTTGTATTTAAAACCATCTTCTCTGCCTGGCTTACCCCGAGCTTCTCCAGAAACATATCAATCTGTTCTCCAAACTTTATGATGGGTATTTGTGTAATTCTGCTAACAGTACACATTAGCTAATAACAATGAATCACAGTGACATCCTATTACACACCTAACGTCTCTTTTTCTCTCCAGTAGGAACTATTATTATATAACCATCTTAAGAGACCCAGTATCACGTTACCTGAGCGAGTGGCGTCACGTGCAGCGTGGTGCGACATGGAAGGCCTCGTTACACGTGTGTGACGGACGTTCACCAACGCTGTCTGAGCTGCCGAGCTGCTACTCGGGAGACGACTGGTCCGGTTGCTCCCTGCAGGAGTTCATGGACTGCCCCTACAACCTGGCCAACAACCGACAGACCCGCATGCTTGCTGATCTCAGCCTGGTGGGTTGCTACAACGTCTCTGCCATGAGTGAGGAGGAGCGCTGGGCAGTACTCCTGGAGAGCGCCAAGCGTAACCTACGCGGCATGGCTTTCTTTGGGCTGACCGAGTACCAGCGTAAGACCCAGTATCTGTTCGAACGCACCTTCAACCTGGAGTTCATCGCACCCTTCACACAGCTCAACGGCACACGTGCCTCCAGCGTCGAGGTACCTTCCGAGACGCAGCACAGAATCCTCCAGCTAAACCGATGGGACGTAGAGCTGTATGAGTACGCCCGCGACCTTTTCCTGCAGCGCTTTCAGGTGGCAAGGCAGCAGGAGCGCAGGCAAGCCAGGGAGAGGCGGCAGCAGGAGAGGAGGCGGCT